CCATAATTAAAAATTGGCAGATCTCGCATACAGTGGGCATCGGTGATATGCAAAGCACAAATAAGGAAGGTTGATATGTCACTTTAAAATCAGCACGTTACGAGGCGAACGTAAATTATGCCGTATATGACTTCCATGTCATGATTATTATGTTTGGACGTGTCATTTACCTTCGTCGTCTGTTCACGTCACGTGATACGAAATTCGGTATATGTGAAGCTAGCGAAACAGCCACGAGCGCGCGATGAGCGTAGCATGTTGTCAAGTGTTCCTTGAGATGAATATTATTGATTGATTGATATGTGGGGTTTAACGTCCCAAAACCACTATGTGATTAAGAGAGATGCCGTAGTGGAGGGTTCCGGAAATTTAGACCACCTGGGTTTCTTTAACGTGCACCCAAATCTGAGCACACGGGCCTACAACATTTCCGGCTCCATCGAAAATGCAGCCGCCGCAGCCGGGATTCGAACCCGCGCCCTGCGGGTCAGCAGCCGAGTACCTTAGCCACTAGACCAGCGCGGCGGGGCGAGATGAATATTATGATTATCATGCTTGAACGTGTAATTTACCTTCGTTGTCCATTCACGTAATACCAAATTTGGTATCCGTGAAGCTAGCGAAACGGCCGTGAGTGCATCATGAGTATGGCATGTAGTCATGTCCTTACATAACACGCATCTGATGATTATCATGTTTGCACCAGTCGCATGACTTCGTCATCTATTTATGTCTCGTAATACCAAATTTGGTATATGTGAAGCAAGCGAAACGGCCACGAGCTCATCATGAGTGTGGCATGTAGTCATGTTGTTACATGACACACGTCATGATTTCCATGTGAGGGTCTGTCGCTTGTGTTCGCCATGCAGTCATATCATACCATACCAGTTTTGCAACATGTCATGAAAACTAAACCACCGCAACAGCATCAAGACCATGAAATGTAAATCATGACATTCATGACATGCATGTCATGATTTTCATGTCATGAATAGTCACTTATGCTTGTCATACAGTCATGTTATGCCATACTGATTTTGGTATCGATATCATTATTGAAACAGCCAGAAGAGCTAAAAGTCGTAGGGGGCTAGAAAGATATATAAGCTCAATGTCGCCGGAGTTCACTAAGAAATGCTTCGCATATAGAAGTGAATGCAGAATCAAGAGTGCATATTTTCAGTGTTTGGTGTCCAAGTGAAACGTTTTTTGGAGTGTGCTCGCTCGTGACAATTGAACGACTTGTTAGAGTTTTTAGTTTTCCTGTGGAGGCATTTAGCAAGTAATTCTGGATGAGCTAGCACCAGATAATTTGGCTTAACAGCTTCAATAACATACGCTGGAAGGTGTTATTAATTCCCGAATAGTTCACCATTCAACTGGGCTTTGTTGAATTGGCCCCACGTTTCAGCGTCCTTCAAGCAAATGCCGTGGGATGGATTAGTATTTTTTCATGCCATGTGAAAAATATGTGGCCCGAACAGCTTTTTGCATGTCTTCTAAGCTGGCTCTTTCTTTTAATGGCCAAACAATAATTGTGCTTGCCAATGATAGCACTACTAAGACGTCCCCAGCAAGATATAGATTTCCAGACAGAAAGCTTGATGCCTCTGCTTTCTTTCTTTTTTTTTTTATTTTAGCAGTTCTGGGCCCATTCTTTTCTGAATGTGCCAAATTCACTCCAACTTGCGAACCGTAACTTCTCCATATGGCTGTGATGCTTGAACTGCAAGGAATCCCTTGCTACACAAGTATGGGGGCTTGGCAAGCCGGTGCACAAGTTTTGAAATAAGTAATTTAAAAAAAAATGTATTAAGACAAACAAACAATTGATTCTGGTTCAGAAAAGGCTACAGATTTCAAAAAACCTAAAAAAACAATTTTTTTCTATATTTTGCCTACCATGTCCCCGTAATTGCTTATTGCAGCTGAATCACTGTGGGATCAAGAGTTAAGATTCCGGCGGCACTTCGCAAACAAGCAATATCGCTTGTCGACGCAGGTTATTGAGCCATTGTTGCCATAAAGAAATGTGCCAGAAGTTATATGTGGTGGCCAGGTATTGATCATGACATAGAATCAACAGTGAAAGATTGCCTCCCTTTTCAATACAAACACAGAGCCCCACCAATCCTGAATGGAAAACACCAGATGCGCCTTGGGACAACCTGCACATTGATTTTGTTGGACCTATTGAAGGGTGTTCATCCCTGGTGGTTGTAGACGCATACAGAATATAACTTGAGGTAAAGCAAATGACTACAACATCGGCAGCAGTCATGCACATTCTCAGATCGTTTGCAACGTTCGGACTACCACGCAAGGTCGTCTCAAACAACGACACTCGCTTGTGTACACGGAGATTTATAAGTTTTACAGCGACAATGGCATCTAATCTGTTACATAAGCTCCATACCACCCGGCGCCAAATAGAAAAGCCGAGCTCTATGTGCCAGAATTTAAACCCTCCCTTACTACAGATCAGACTGGGACAATGCAACACCGCTTCACTCGCTTTCTCTACAGGCAGCTCAACACTGTTCAAAGCACCACAGGGGCAAACGCTAGGAAGTTTCTTGATCGGATTGGAAATGAGAAACCAGCTGACAGAAATTGTTTTGGAGTCTTCAGTGGAAACATCATTGGGAGAAGGAAAGCTCCCGCGTAGTTAGAGATCTGAAATTGGACAACGCATATACGCACACCAGTTCAACAAAATACTTATCTGGGCTGAAGCAACTGCACTCAAACGCATAGGTTTGTGGTCGTGGCTCGTCGACGTAGACAGAAAGGCCACTCACTGCCACCTAAATCAGCTACGCTGCTCAGATAATTTGCCAAGGAAAGCTCCCTTTCAAACAGGCACCCCGACAAGAGTGTCATCCCATTCAGCCTGGCATCTTGTACCAGATGAATTGGCGACGTCACCATCTGGCCCGGAACGCAAGAAAAATGACACCCAGCAAGCTGAGGCTTCTGCTAACGTGCCCAGAGCATCCACACACATATGGCGACTTAGATTGTCGCTTCCAAGTGACAATCTAAGAAGGGAGGAGATGCTGTGTCCCAAGCGCACCTTTGTTTTCTAGCGAGCCCCCAAATGTCCTGAGTGAAGCGGCTCACAGTACCTGCAGACATCCAGTTGTCGACTGCTCTCCTCTTCCTATCTCATTACAGACATGTCGCGACTCATTTCCCCTGGCAGTTCAGCTGCCACCTCGAACTAGGATATGTTTTTGACTACCGCGCTTAAGTCTTTGGGCTGACGTCAACACCAGACATAAAAATTGCCAACGGTGAAATTTCGTTCTATCAAGGGTGTCTCCTGCTGCCACTTCGTTACATAGAGGTCACAAATACATGTGCTTCTATGGTGTAACAGCAGGGAATAAAAAAACTTTAAGGCATTAGTTGTACAGGTGTTCATTCTAGGCAGGTTTAACTATATTTTTGAGTATACATTTTCCCTTCTGCATTGTGTTGAAAGTACTTGTTTTTAATTATGTGGTGAACTTGCAGCGTTTTGTTGGTGCACATGCACACTCAATGACTTCTTAAAACTGCTTGGTATTCTTTCCTATTCATTTTTTTTTTGTTTGTTGCTAGAGATAATGTATGTTTATTATGTATTACTCCTGCTCGAGGGGGGGGGGGGGGGGGTCAAAATATTGACCTGCAGCACTCTGAAATGAACAAATAAATAAATAGACATGTGTGAATATTAAAACTTTCCAATACATTTTGAATAGTGTTTGCTTTTCTATTCACTTCACACTAAAATTTTACTATTCGAACTTCTCAGAGACGAATACAGTCAACGCGTGATTGACAATAATGCCTTCTTTAAATTGTCTTTAAGCTTCACCCCATCACAGAATTATATTGCAGCAAAGCTGGCTTTCAAACTCTGCTTTGGTTACAACTGTATTGACTTCGGAAAACACTGGTTCCAACATGAACATGATAGATGTGGCAGAGGTGGGGGTTCAAGTAATGCTATTGTGGTCCTGAAATTTGGGCAGGAAGTTCGAAAAAGCAGATGCCAAAGATTTTTAACATCCAAAATTTCAGATGTTCTTGAAATAACCGTCTGAAAGGCAGATTTGAAACTGTGGACTCAAAGGGAGCACACCCATGTCCGCCACAGCAGTTAGGTTTGCAAAGAAGATAATAGCAGAGACTGAGAAAAAACATCTTAGACTCACGTGTAACGTGTTGTCGACAGCACTTTGGTTGCGCCAAATTATCTACATACTAAATACATTTCGGCCTCTGCATTGCCTCATTCTCGATAAGACTGTTATGAAACCCCACCACTACTTGATCATCCTAGCTAAAATAAACCCTTTCATGTTGCTGTCTGATAAAAATGCTTAGAAATCCACTCCAACTTTGTAGACGATTCCCAAGCACAAACACTGTTCGTAACTGAATACTCAAGTCAGTGGTTTCATTGCATTGATAACCAAGCTTATAACTAAAATAGGTAAATAGTTGGGTAGAGGGCCTTTTGTAGAGTTGATGAATTAATTAAAAGTTTCAATGATTTGTGTTAATAAACACTATGCTGTAACTAAGAGTAACAGAAATGAAAGTGCTTTAAACATATCACTAAGAACAGCAACCATATCGTAAAACACAGCAAGGTGCCTAAAGATTAAAAAAAAAAGGGGGGGGAGGAGGGGGAGAAGACCAGTTTGCCATAGACACACTGCAGTTAACTCTGTCCATGAATTTACGTGGATACTGATAAATTATTAATCACTTATTATCTATTTGATATTGCTAGCCACGCAAAGTCAACTAAATATAACTAAGTGCTGTGCGTAACACCAGTTAGGCTTGGAGAGAGTACAGTGCAATATGGAACTGTATTCCATTAGTAAATTAGAATGCCAGAGGTCACAACTCAATAACTTAAGTTGGTTAAAGTTATGGGACATATATTAGGTTCTAAAGAACATAGTACTTGTGCACAGAACACTATATTTCTTTACCGTGAAACAACTGAATCCAACGCATCATCATCATCGGCATCTGGGCAAAAAGGGTCCAAGTCAAAATCATCGCTGTCCGTAGTACAAGCATCTCCATCTGTAAAAGTTAAGGACAAAGAAAAAAAGGTACATCAAAACCCTGTATTTTGAAGAAACTGTTCAGGGACTCGAGAGGAATAAAGTGTGTCATTTCATTCCATCTGTGCCAACCACGGTGCTCAGCCACCTGTAATTTTATCACAAGGATTAAGAGGCTTTAGCATTATATGTCAATCCACAAATACTGTTGACTTTTTTTTTTCGGCCTTGTGAACCGCAAGAATAATTTTCTGAGCCACAGATGTACCATGTGTCACAATGCTGAAAACTGCATTGTTTTCATTATTGCTACCTGCTTTCTTTTATAGAACTGCTGTCTTGTAGCTCAGTAAAAAGCCTACCATTTAAACTGTGTGCCCTTTAAACTGTGTGCACATACACGCTGTCCTTTTCGCAGCACCAGCAGAAAGCCTTCTTGCTGGTGCTTACCTAATTTAGCTTTTGCTCTGCGATTCCTAACAACATACAATTCTGGACCTAGTAAGGAATAGAATTTTCAGCAACAGCAATCGAAACAGACAGGCATCTTTGCTGCTTTTTTTTTTTTAATGAGAAGCATTTCTTAGCAAACTCTGCGACTGAGCGTATCTGTCTGTCTGCCTGCCTGGCTATATACCGAATTTCGTGTCGCGTGACGTGAATGGACGACGAAGGTAAATGATACGTCCAAACATGATAATTATGACATGCCTGTCATGTAAAACATGACCACATGTTACGCTCATAGCACACTTACGTTTGTTTCCCTAGCTCCACATATACCAAATTTGGTATCATGTGATGTAAATAGACGAAAAAAACAATGCATCCTAACATGATAATGATGATATGCATGTCATGTAACGCATGACTACATGCTACGCTTAAAGCATGCTCGCGGCCGTTTTACTAGCTGCACATATACCAAATTTGGTATCATGTGATGTGAATAGACGACGAAGATAAATGACACATCCAAACATGATAATCATGACATGGAAATCACGTACGGCATAATTTATGTCGGCCTCGTAATGCTGTGCCGATTGTAAAGTGACATATCAACCTTCATCATTTCTGCTTCGCATATCATCGATTCCTACTGTACGTGGGATCTGCCAATTACTTTTTTTTATTTCAGTAAGAACACTGCAGCCATGGGCAGCTAATCAATATTTTTTAGAGCTGCTTAAAGTTACCAGACGCACTACTACCAGCTTTGCTAACCCATGTAGATGTTTTGAGAACCGACTTGCAAAACTTTTGTTGAACCAAGGCACAGCGGTGACTGAAATTTGTAATGCTGGCGTGGGTCTAACACTATCGATTCAGCGCGAAATTTCACAAAACAGATCGATTGATATGTGATATTTTATGGCACAAGGACCAGTGGTGGCCCAAAAGTGCCAGGCCATGGTATGGAATGTGATCAGTGGTGATGTTGAGTGGCTGTATAACGGCCCAAAATTATTTGAATTTAGGTTGCGTAAAACATATACAGCCTAATCCCGCTATAGCAAGTCTGCTCTAAAAAATTATTTTCGATCTCCCGTTAGCCACCTATATAAAACAATGTAAAAAATGTCTCTTCACAACAAATACTTTTCCTGAATATTTTGCTTCAATGAAGTTTTGCGAGTACCACCCCATAAGGAAATGTAACTTGCTTAAGACTGCCATGAGATACCGCTACCAACTCGGCCATTTTTTGATGGCTCATGACATCCAGAGCACATGGCCCCATCGCAACAATCGTGTCTTCATGGGAGACACAATTTCTGCCACCACACGCACATCCCGCTAAATTTATCACCACTGATATGCCCGGCGACAGCTCGCCCATCTACCATTATGCTGCCGGTTGGCTTGAGGCACGTGCAGGCTGCAGCAGAATTGTGATCTTTGAAAACTCTGTCTATATGTTTTTGACGTCGCACTCAAAACAAAACTACCGCTTGTCGTCACTAGCCCTGCGATTGTGAATGAAGTGAAGTGAAATTAAGTTTTGTTTCCTTTGATACAAAGAAGGAATTCCGGGGCTAAAGAATGGGGTGCCTGACAAAGGCCTAGGCTTCATTGTACAGTCTGGTGACCGTTAACAAAACAATATGACTAAAAACATGACATAATAAATAGAAAAATCAGCTACACTTGCAAGTACAACAAAATAAAATGTTTTTAAGCATGTAGCAGTAAAAATGTTGTTATACACAACAGAAACCAAGGTCGAGTAAATATTTATTTGTGCCATTTTTAAATATTTTTAATGCAACATCAAAATTGACATTTTTAGACATCTTATTCATAGCCACATTCACCTGATATGTTAAGTTTTGTTTGCCATAGTTAGTATGCCTCTTAGGGACCCGCAGGCTTCGTTTTGGTATGGATCATTAAATGGTATGGATCATTAGTCAAAGTATTGTTTTGAGTATGTAATTGATTGACTTTAACATGCTGCAACATACGAAAAAAGTAGACTTGGTTCACTTTAAGCAAAGCATAGTGATGAAACAATGGCGAAGTTAGAAGATCCTGGAGATTGCCGCAGTAACCATGAATGCACTGCAAAGCTCTCTTTTGAAGTACTTGTTTCTGATAGTAGTAGTTGTTCCCCAGACCAGAATACAATAGGTTAGTTTAAAATATACAAGCGCATAATACATTTGCACTGTCAACCACTCGGGTACAAGACTAGTCACCTTGTAGAGACGGCCAACACTTTTGTTTATTTCATGTAAGACGCTAATTTTAGGCATGCATGTTCCAGGAAAAGTTCTGGTGGAACCAGACACCGAGAAATTTTATGGAATCAACCTCGGGTATTCTTATGTGTCCAAACTGGATATTTACCTTATAAAACTCTGCAGTACTAATTGGTCTAAAAATAATATAGCTGGTTTTCGATAAATTTGAAAGAAACATGTTGGATTTTAGCCATAATTACAGGTTACCTAAGTACCTGTTTACCATAGCCTCAGCTGACAACAATGACAACCACGTCATCATAAATGTGCACACACGAGCAGCGTGCAACTAGTCCCAGTGTAATGCATTCCGCCGCAACCACGGCAACACAAATGCGGTCCTGTCGAACGCACGATCATGGCCGACCATGAAAGTACATGCACAATTAATGCGCACTCACTCAACCCAATATTTCTTGTGATAACACTGTAAACAAATATAGCAACGGCGCAGTTTTCAAGACACGCACCCGGCCAGCGTAGCGGGCAGAGTTTAAAAACTGAATTACTTTTTGCCACAATCGCTGTGCAGAAAACCACAGTCTCTAACGTGTTTATTAATAGAGAATACGACCTGAAGATGAGCAGCTAACAAGGCCATTGAATAAAGGTAATAAAGTCATAAAATGACACGAAGCATTATAGCTTTCTTGTCATTCACTAGTGGCCATGGTAGTTGCTGTGTTGGGGCTGGCTAGTCCCGACGAAGCAGAAGAAGAAGAAGACGGCCGACGGAGACGTACGCGGCCGGCGGCACATTGACCAGCCCGAACACGCGGGTTGGCGCGAAGCGCCGAAAGAAAAGCACAACAACCGCACTCCACGGTTACCAAACACACACTGTCTTTATTTTACAGTCGCCTTGAAATCCTAGATGCCAGAGCGGCGCCCCCTGGCATCCTCACATGTCAATCCTAAACCGAAACCCAGAACACAACAACCATCCCCTCCTCGAAAAAGTTCACCTATACACTGTTTATATTTATACATGATCGATACAAAAGTATATACAAGGTATGTACGCTAGAACACATAAAAATTCGGAGCACGGCACACCGAACTCACACACTACTAGTCCTGAAAATGCACTGACAAACAAAAAAAATGTACACAACTGTTCGGAACAAGAGTTCTACAACACATAGTCTTCGAACCAACGGGGCTTCTGCCGCTTCCGCTTAGGGCGGGCCCTTTTGGGTGTAGAATCAGGTGTCTCTGCACCTTGGTCACTTCTGCTTTGATGTGACACATCAAGATCAGTGAAAGATTGTGAAGGCTCTGAACGAGCGTTAAAATTTGCGGTCTCATCAGAGCTCGCAGCATGAGCTTCGGAAGAATTTTGCGAACGGAAGTCCGGTTCAACGGTCTCAGCCGTATTTGAAGGTTCGAAGTGAACCGTATGACTTGGTGTACTTGAACCAGCGACACCGCCTGGTAACTTCTCCCCCCTTGAAGAAGAAATGCCTGTACATGGAGGCCACATGTAACAGTCTGATGCGTAGTTGAAAGGCGTGGACGAAACGTGATGAGGAAGACTTTTAGGTGTTGAAGGCTAATCCGTATGAAAAATAACAAGGCACGAAGCATTCCAGATGTTACCATCACTTAAGCGAAAAGAAGTGGGACTAACCTGGCCCAAGACTTTGAAAGGACCCCGATACTTGGGGCGCTTGCCTGGCACACGAACCTTGACTAGATCGCCAGTGCGAACTTCAGAGTGCTTTGCACCTCGACGGGTGTCGACATACTTTTTCATTGCATGTTGACGAGAAAAAACCCTGGTACGAATTTGATCAGGAGAAGACACTGCTATGTTACGAGGCAAAGAGACTATGTCGAGAGCAACTCGCGGTTGCCTACCGTGGAGAAGTTGAGCAGGAGACACTCCAGCAGTGCCTTGTGGTGTGAACCTGTACGAAGCTAAACATTCAGTCAAGACTTGCTTGAGGGGACGGTGCTCTAATTGGGCGATCTGAATATGTTCCTTCAGAACGCGATTAAAGCGCTCGATTTGGCCATTTGATTGGGGATAGAAAACTGATGACCTCAAGTGCTGAATTCCTCGTTGTGAAAGAAAAACCTCGAAATGTTGGGACTGAAACTGTGGACCATTGTCCGTAACTATGGCATCAGGAAACCCTTCCCGGCTGAAGATTGAAGACAGAAATTCAATGATGACCTCAGAAGTAACCGTATAAGTGAAACAAATTTCTGGCCATTTGGAATGGTAGTCGATGACAGAAACAATGAACCGGGCATTTTGCGGAACATT